GGGCTCCCCCTGATAACCTCTCTCCGCTCTCCCCAGCGCAAAGATGGGGTGCTTCACCTTTATCAAGGTCATGATGATCCTCTTCAACCTGGCCATATTTGTAAGTGCACCCTAGCTGCTGTCTCTGCCCGGGGGGGCCGAGCCTGGCAGCCCCCCGGCTGCCCTGGGAAACTGGGATGAAGGGCTGGGGTCTGTGGGAGCAGCTCCTGGGGAGCACCCTCAGCCGGCCATGGGGTGGGCGAAGCCCACCCATGTGGGCTCTCCTGCCCCTCCACATCCCTTCTGTGGGGGATGGAGAGGGGGATATCGGGTGTTGGTGGGACTCATGCTCCTGGGACCCCGGTGGGGTGCGAGATCTGGTCTCTGGCCCCAAGCTGAGGCCTTAACCTTGTGGGGGTCTCTTGCTCTCCACCTCTGGCCACAGCGCAGGGGACGGTGCTGGGCTCTGGGGACGGTGGCAGTTGCATCAGCCGCCCATGTACCTCCCTGTGCTGAAGCTCTGGTGGAGGGTGCTGAGTGCCCCAGAGCAGGGGGGGGTTTGCTGGGCTCCATCTCAGTAGGGGAGAGGCTCATGTGCGTGACAGCGACCTGCAGCCTTGGGGGTCTCAGATGTCAGGGGTCTCCAGAGCACGCACAGCCTCTGCTCCCACCCACGGCAAAGGGTGGTGGAGCTCCTGAGAGCTACCCTGGCTCTGCAGGAGCGACGGAGCAACCTGGAAGGGGGTGCGGTGGGATATAGCCTTGGGAAGGGGAGGTGCAGAGCCCCCAGGCTTGCCCTGCCGAAGCATTCCCTCCCTAGAGCTCCTGCTGGGACCTGGGGCTGGTGGGGAAGGTCGAGCGGGTTGAGGGCAGGGCTGGGGCAGGCTGGGGGCAGCCCTGAGCTGCCCTTGCCAGAAGCGTGTGAGCACCTGGAGCCAGGGGCTGCTTAGCTGCTGCCCTGGGTGAGCAGGCAGCTTCCCTGCCTGGAGGAACTCGTGATGGTGGCCAGCGTCCGAGCCGGCTGCATGTTGCCCCTCTGGGGTTGGGGGGACAGCCTGTGGTGCTGCTGGCTCAGCTGCCCTGCATGAGGGTTACTGCCCCGCTGCTGGCACCGAAACCCGTTGGGCTGGGGAAGGGGGTAGCTGCGATGCCGCAGCTGGGGATGTGCTGGTGGTGGGGTGTGTTTTGGGGTAGTGACCCATCCAGCTGCCCCAAGCCTGTGGTGGCAATGCCCTGAGCTGCCCTGAGTGGCCACAAAGTCTTGCTTTGGCACAGTGACAATTTGCAGAGGGGAGAAATACCTGTGCCAGCACCTTCCCCAAAGCCCAGATCTCTGCCTGCACGGGAGCTGACATTGCCTCTCTCCTCCCAGCTCGGTGGCGGGACCCTCCTCGGAGTTGGCATCTGGGTCACAGTAGATGGACAGTCGTTCCTGGATATATTTGGGGCGCTATCCTCTAGCATCCTGCAGGTTGTGAACGTGAGCTACTTCCTCATCGTCATTGGTGCCATCCTGCTGGTGATCGGCTTCCTCGGGTGCTACGGTGCCCAGAAGGAGAGCAAGTGTCTCCTGATGATGGTGCGGACCTGACTTATCTCCTTATCAAGCCTCATTTGAGCTGGGTCTCTGGTGGGGGAGGTCTGAGGGATAGGTTTCTCCATGGAGATGTCCTCTTTGGATGTTCCCATGTGGTGGAAGGCTGGGCGGACCTTGGAAAGACAGTGTTGAAACCAAAGTCTGACCCAGCCAAGGGTGAAAGGAAGCAGAAGCTGGTGCTCAGCAGAGGTCTTTCTTGGAGCATGTCTGGAGAGGTCAGCCCCATGCAGATGGAGGGTTGGAGGACCTGGGGGTTGTGCCGCTTCTGCCTTGGAGCAGAGCGGAAGGCAATGAGACAGGGCTTGAGCCCTGAGGGAGGGTCCTGCTGGCCCTTGGGAAGCAAATGGGTTCCTTGGGGGCCCTGTGGACTCTGGCTGTTGCTTTGACCTCCCTCCCCTTGCTGTATCCTAGTTCTTCTCGGTGGTGCTGATCATCTTCATTGCTGAAATTGCTGCTGCCGTGGTGGCTCTGGTCTACACAGGTCTTGTGAGTGGCATATCTAAGTCTTGGGCTGGGGTAATCTGGGACCTGTCCTACCCCTTGGTAAAACAGGAGACACTGGGGTTGGCAATACTGCCCATGGATGGGGAAGCTGAGAGGTGGGCCCTGCCGCAGGAGGAAGGGATGCCAGTCCCTGCCAGCACTAGCTCTGTGGGCAGGCTGGGTCGGCCTGGCCGGAGTGAGGGTGGTGGGAACAGGGAATCCCATTGCCCTAAAGAAATGAGGCTTATGGTACAAGTTTTGCCTGCCTCTTTCTTGCAAACCCCTTAGTCCAGTACCAGCCTAGGCTTGACACCTCTCCACCTCTGATGGTAGGAGCTACACGGGAGAGGAAGTCCCTAATGCTTCGTGCTGAGCAAACTCAACCTCTTATTAGGCACCTGAGAAACCACCTGGGGAGAAAGGTGGCTTTGCCTCATTAGGCACGGGAGAAGTCAACCGTAGGGCAAACATCATTCCTGGCTCCCTTGGTTATGCTGCTTATCAGATGACTCACTGGTCATAAGTGGCCTTGGTGCCATAAAGCACTGGTTAGTGGGGAAGGGGCCAAGCTGTACTCGGGTCAAAGGGGTGCGGTGTGACATGCTCCTGGCCGTGTGGGGTCTGGTTGGTGTCCTCTCCATGGGCTGAGACCGGTATGGGGGTTCTTGGCTCTGTGGTGCTCCTTGGGACCTTCTCTGATGGTGTTTCTCTGCCTCTTCTTTCAGGCAGAGACGCTGTTGACGGCTGTGGTGACCCCTCTCCTGAAGGAGAAGTACGGGTCAGATAAGGGTCTCACGCACATCTGGAATGTCACTATGAACGAGGTATGCTGAGCCCAGGGGCCCCCACCTGTGGGTCAGGATGCTCCCAGCACAGGCTTGGTGGTGCCTGGTGCGCCAGCGGGATGGGAGTGGGGACACCATCACAATCCTGGATGCGCTGAGCTGTCACCACCCCATCAGCTTCCCAGGTGCCTGGGACCTACCTGCTTGGGATCTAGTGGTCCCGTGGCTGCAGTGAGAGCTGTAGATGCTGGAGTGTGGGGCAAAGGCCTGATGCCAAGGCCTGGAGCTGGGTTGAGCTGGGTGACCCCCTCCATGGGGCAGCAGGGTCCAGACCGTGTCTGATGCAGGAGGGAGACCTGCAGGACGTTCTCCCCATCCCTTCCTCTCTCTCCCTCTTAGGTCAATTGCTGTGGCCTGAATAACTACACAGACTTCACTGACTCCCCCTGGTATAAGGAACACAAAACCTACCCGGAGCCCTGCTGTAAGGACAGGGAGCCCTGCAATAGCACGCTCGCTGCGCAAAGCGAAGTTCCGGTACGGACGCACCAGCAGCTCTTGCCTTCTGGCAGAGCCTGGTTTGGGGTGTGCCCTGGCACAGGGAGGGAGACCTGTCCTGTAGCTCCAGCCCCAGCTCTGGACATGGCTTTAAGTCCTGGGGGATGCTGTGGTGGCCTTGGCTTGTCCCTGGTGGAGACAAGCAAAGCTGCTACCATTGCTCTGGCCCTAAAGGGAGCTCTGCAGCAGGGTGGCATGCCTGGAGCTGGGAATGAAGCCAGGCACCACTCTACTCTTTTGGGTGATTTCCCTGCCTCTTACCCTCCTCCCCCACCAACACTGTGCTTTGGCCTGAGAAGTGGCTGAGAGGAGTTGCCCCCTGAAGACCCCAGACCTTCTCCATGGCTGTGCAGCTCTAGGCTGGAGAACCGTACCTCGCTTTCTGGGGATGTTGTGCCCCAGTGGTTGGGGGATTGCTACCCCTTGCTCATCCTCACCTGCGTGGTTGTCTCCTGCAGGGTTGTTTCTATCAGATCTTGGACGAAATCAAGACTAATGCAGGTGTGGTGGGTGGTGTGGCAGCCGGCATTGCTGCCTTGGAGGTGAGTGCCTGAGCATCGCTGTGCTGCCTCCTCCTCCCTGTACCTGGAGGTGAGCACTGGGGCTGGGACTGGCCTGGGTGGCCAAGGAGCTGCAGGGGGCTGGTGTAGCTCCATGGACCACCATCTGCCTCAGGGTGGCTACTGAGCCTTCTTCCCTGGGCACACCTGGGTCTTCCTCTTTGTGTGCGCTGGGGATGGATGCTACGGGCTGTGACCCAAACCCATGCTGGAGTGGGACACTTAGCAGGGATAACTCGCCTCTTGCTGCCCACAGATTGCGTCCATGGCGGTTTCCATGTACCTGTACTGCGAGCTGGATCAGAAATGACCCCTCAAGGCAGGAGGATGATCTGCTCCCCCACCGTGCCGGGGTGCACCTGTGGCATGCCGTGCTCTTGGGGGGACCCCGTTGCTCCCTGGGCCTGATGCTGTCCTGTGCACTGTGATTTATAGCTATGTTTTGATCTACTGAGCTGGGATCTGTAGAGTTTGTGTATATTTTTGTACTGATATGGCACACAGAGTCTGTACATAGAGGTTTGGGCGTTTTTTGAAGGGGGGGTGGCAGGGGGGAAGCTGCTTGGTCTGTTTGGCCGATACCAGAAGGAGATAAAGTGACACGGGGGCCAATCAGGGCTGCTGATCCGGCAGCGGCACAGCGATGTCTTGATTAAACCTTTGCAGCCATGTACTGTACCTCTCCCATGCTGTCCCCACTGTGTCCCTGTGCGGGGCTGGCAGGGCAGGGGGCTGGCACTGGGGCTGGCCCATGCCCCCCTGCATCCCTCCACTTAACTGGGGCTAGTACCCTGCCAAGGTGTTGTAGGTGGTAACTGTACCCTCACCTGGGCATGTATCTACCCCCTACACCCCTTTTCTGCCAGCCCTCACCCTGTTGTTCCCTAAAAGCTGGCTGGTCTCTGCCCCTGCCCTGGCATGAAGACAGCCCTGTTGGTGCCTGGCCCTGCGGTGGCTAGGGCTGCCCCGTACCCCCTGTCATTTCATGGCTGAGCCCCTCTCCATGCTGTAAAGAAAAACAAATAAATTTTTCATCTTGGATACAAATGATTTTCTGGAGTTGATCTGGGTGTTGCCTTCAATAAATAGCCTCTGCCTGGGGCAGCTGCCTTGCCTACCTGCCCCCCTGCCATGAGCCCAGTGCAGGCAGCACAGCCCTGCCTGCAGCCTGCCTGCCCTCCCTCTGCTGCCGCTCCTCACTGGGCGCTTGGAAACAAGTAGCCCGGTGTTTGCACAACAGCCGGGGAGTGGTGGGGGCTACCACTAGCCTTGGAAATGTGCCCTGCCCTCCGCAAGAGCCGCGGCTCACTCAGCAAGGCTGGTTCACGGACCCAGCAACAGCTTGGCTTGAAAAGCAGGGCTGGCTCTGGGGGGGGCTGTACTGGTGCTTCTGTCCCCATCACCCCCAGGAACCCAAAATGGGGGGCTTGGGGTAGCGAGGGGGAGTGGGTCCTGCCAGCCCCATCTCCGAGCATCTCCACCCCCCAGCATTGTCCCACACCGCCCATGTGATGCACCCGCAGTCCCTCTATGTGTGGGAATGGTGGGGGGTCACAGGCAGGGTGGGGGGTTCCCAGCCACCCCCTTTCCCCAGCATCGCCCC